TCCTAAGAAGCCAGATGCAATGACTGGAAACATGAACTGTTTGAAAACCAGAAGACTTGAAGCAGAAATCTGGATTCTGGTAGAAAACTGCAGATGGATCTTTAGTCTCTTGGACTTCATGTCACATCAACCCAGAACTGTTTAAACCTTCTAGCGCAGTGGCCCCAGCGGGTCCTGGAGGCCCGACATCCTGCGTGTTTTAGTTCTCTCCTGGTTTAACGCAGCTGGATCCAATGATGGCTCATTGTAAGAACACTGACCTGCTGAGGAAGAAGTTACCACCAGCAGGGAGAGAACTGAAACATGCAGGATGCCGGAACCCACTGTGGGCACCACTGGTCCTACAACTGACCACTGGTCCTACAAACTGACCAAGCACATAACCATCTGACCAAAGTTACTTTTCCACAGGAATGGACGGACCAAACAGAACCAGGTCTGTTCTCACCGGTCACCATCAGACAGGAAGAGGACCAATGGGCCACCTCCAGTCCTGAAGCAGATCTCAACAAGCCAATGAGGTTTGATGGAGGGCGGGTCAAGGCGTGGCTGAGGGTCCAAAGCTCCGCCCCTGCAGAAATAATGACTTCCTGTTCCAGGGCGGTGCAGACGGACAGAGATGGGAAGGTGGGCTCGCTGACTGGAAGTGTTTAAGAGCAGGTTCTGAAGGTTCTGGTTCTGTTTCCGGTTCTAGATGAACCTTGGTGCTTTAGAGTTGGTTCAGCCAGAGATTAAATAATAATCCCTCAGCTTCATAGGCTGAAATCTGACCAATCAGAGCCCTCAATCCTCCCCTCGTGATTCTGATTGGATCTGTGTTTTCAGGATCCTCTCCATAGTGATGTTCTGACTCAGCAGGATCTTCATTTCGACAGCTGGCGTCGTCATGACGACAGACAGCATCCTCTTCCTGTGCCCTCCTCCAGGGAACCAGCAGGAGCTGTGATTGGTTACCTGCAGTCAGCTCTACAGGTGAGTCCAGCAGGTTACAGGCAAAGATGTTCTGGTGGTGCTGTGGTTGAGCACAACCTACATGTGGAGGCCTCAGTCCTCAGCGGGGCCGTCACAGGTTCGATTCCCGCCCTGGTGACCTCAGCCTTCTCTCATTACCCTCTGTCAAATAAAGGCCATTAGAGCCAATAAAACCTTACAGAAAAAGAGATGTTCGCTGTCAAGAGGCGTCACTCCTCCAGAATTCTGATGATCTACTTCCTGTTGATCAGGAGGAAGAGGAGTCGTCTTGCTGTGATGAAGAGGAGCAGCTTCTCTCTGAGCCCAGGTGAGTATTCAGGTGTTCCAGAACCAGAACTTGATCCAGTTCCTGTTCTGCTCACACCCATTCCTCCCACAGTAGACCTTCCTCCTCCTCTTCATCAGCACTCCTCTTCCTCCTCCTGGCTGCTGCTCTCGCCCTGCTGGCTGGCCTCATCCTGGTTGCCATGGAGCCTCCCTGTCACCGTAGCAACAGGATGCCACGCTCCCTCCATCTGACACTGAGCTACGTCAACGGGCCGCCCCCCACCTGAAGCGGGTCAAAGGTCAACCCTCAGGGTCTCCCGCCCTTTCAGAACCAAACCCCAATCTCCTGAAGCCACTGCTGATCCAGTCCAGTTTGATCCTGTCCAGTCCGACTCTTCCAAGAGTCTGGCAGGGTTTCTCCTAACTTGGCAGCAGGAAGCGTTGGTCCCACATCCTGGATCTACTGGTTCTGGAGGTTCTGCATGATGAACCGGGTCTAGGCTCCTTAACTTCAGAATCGGACCATGACCAGAATGTGTTCGTTTGGATCTCTTGGTGCTGATCCAAGCTTGTGGAAAGCTTCCTGGAATCTGCATGATGAATTCCAGGATGTTTTCCCTCCAGCGAGTTTTCCGGCCGTCCCTTCTGCCTTGCTCTGATTGTCTTTTTCAATATTTCTTGTTTGATGGTTTTTTTGTTCCAGGTTTGAATTTTTTAAATATTTTAAATTATTAAAAAAAAAATTAAAATAATTTTTAAAATCTCTGTCTAGATTTCAGGAAGATTATCTGGGATTTTCAGGAATTCAAACATGAATGTGGCTCTGCCATGTGGAACATTTCACTTTTTATATTTTGTTTCTATAAATTAAGAAAAATCATCTGGACTGTAGAAAAAAATTCTGTTTTTTGTAAAGGAATAAAATGAATAAAAGTTGTGAATTTGCTCCAGTTTTCACCTTGATAAAAAGACGGAATGTTTCCAGTATGATGAACGGCAGCGGTTCTGTTTGGACCCGACCACCCTGCCCTCAGCGGTTCTGTTTGATGGCCGGATCCGAATGGTCCGGTGATCCATGAAGATCCATCGGCTCCAGCTGCAGGGAGGATGGTTTAATGTGAGCAGAGAAAAGATTCCAGGGGATTTTAGATCACAGTTCAATCCCACACTGGAAAAATCCAGTTTCCACATTTAAGCGCTTCATGAGCTGCCTGGAAACACCTGGAAATACCTGGAGAGGCCTGGAAGTTCTTAGGCTTGAGCGGGTTGGGCTCCAGGTGGTTCTGCCCAGCGAACCGGCTGCAGGTTCATTTTAAATCAATTGAGGAAGAAACCAGAATTTCATGTTTTCTGATCGACTGAAGGAAAATAAAACCTGCAGCTTCCAAACGTGCAGACATGTTGTGTCCATAGAACATGTTGGACCAGAACCAGCAGATTCCAGGAACATTCCAGAAGCGTTCCAGCTCCTCCGGCTCCAGGAATGTCAGGCCTGTCCTCTGTCAGAGGAACACTGGAAGCTTTGTTCGGTTCTGCTGAGACTCAGGAGGAGCTGCTGGTTGAAAACCGGCTGGGTCAAAATGGAGTCTGTGCTACGTCATAACAGAACCCCAGGAAACGGAGGCAGTCAGAAGTTCCCAAATAATAATGTTAAAGCCCCAATGTGAAAGATTGGTACCAACAGGTCGGTACCGACCCACTGGTACCATCCTCAGAGGTTCTCCTGGTCACCACTAGGAGGGCCAGTGGATCACCTTAATGTTTATCTTTCATAAACAAACATTCATTACTATCTTCATTTGAACTGTAGCAACATGTCATAGTGTCTCCATGGTTACGGTCCCCAGTGTCTCCATGGTTACGGTCCCCAGTGTCCACTCAGTGCAGTATTCAACCTGCAATGAGCTCACTCAGCCACCGCTTCCCCAGGGCATTATGGGTAAACTCACAGTATTATGGTCTGTATTGACTCATGGGACTCACTCCAGAGACCTCACACACACACACACACACACCAGTGACCTGCTGCAGCCACATTAATGGTTCGATTATTTAAACACACGTAAAGATGGCGGCTGCTATGAATCAATCTCAACCCAGAGACGTTTTTAATAAGGCTTAATAATTTGTCCACTGGGTGACATGAACCATAACTGGTCCCAGTCATTCCCAGTCTGAGTCCATCTGATGGTCCCACTGCAGTTCTGCTGGATTACTGGGCAGTCTTGATGGAACAGCTAAATCTGTCCAAGCAGCAGAAAACCAGGACATGTTTACCACCACCAGGTTAGATCAGAGTGACCTTTGACCTCAGGAGTGCAGCTGACTCCAGTTGGATCACTCATCAACTGATGGCTGATTGGCGATCCAGCCAGCCGGTTCTGGCTTGGCCTCCAGAACCGTCTGCAGACGTTTTTCCTTCAGTCCAGAGTAAAGATGGCGCCTGATGGAGGAACATCAGGACCTCCCAGTCTCCCCCTCCCGTCCACTTCCTGTTTCTGGTCCGCTTCCTGTTTCATGTCCTCTTTTCACACTGATCCCCTTTTCAGCTTTCCTGGAATCCAATTAGAGGAGATTCTTCCCAGCAACTGAGAACCTTAATTCCAGCTCCACCAATAGAGGTGAGAAGTGAAGATAAGTCAGGATCAGAGGCTTCACTGCTTAGGATGGAGACGAAAACACTGCTGGCCCCAGCTAGGGCTTCGGCTAGCAGCTTCAACTACCATCTTTAGCTAGCGGCCTTGGCTAGAGGCTTCAGCTAACGGCTTTGGCTAGCAGCTTCAGCTAGTAGTCCTGCAGTCTTGGTCCTGGAATAGTCAATAGTCTATTGAGTAGTGTATTGGTAGTTAATGTGCTATTGTTAAACATTTTATTAAAATTTGCATTGCAAGCCAACATGATGATGACAGCATTAAAGCTAGCATTACGTTTTTAGCTAATTTTGACTAAAAAGGCAAAGTTGACTAAATTGATTAAATTAGTTCCTCAGTATGTTAGTGTAATCCAACATGATTATAATAGAATTTAAGCTAGTATTAGCATTTTAGCTAATTTTTCACACCAAAATGCAGTATGATACTGAATTGCAAAAACTGCTCACTCTGCATGGAGTGTTACCGAAGATGCTAGCATTTACTATAATTAATATTTTAGCTAGCTTTAGATTTTTAGCTAATTTAACTTTTAAATGTTTTTTTTCCACACTACACGGAGTATGTTACTGTAGGTAACATCAGTAGCCTAGATGTTATCAATAGTATGTCAGCTAGCTTTAGCTTCTAGCTCCTTCTGTCTTATAATCTGCTGTGACGTTAGCTTTGTAATCACTGTTCTGCACCACTTTCTGATACTCTTTTGGGTGGGATTTTTGCATTGACTTAAAGCTTTTGCTCCAACTGCTTTTCTTTACACATCGTGCATCCTTTTGCTTTTTTCTGCTGCTTCTGTTGACGTCTTACATTTCTGCAAGTCTTCTGTTTGTAGACTTCTAATGCTTCTGCCATTTTCACTAAAACCTTTCAGCTTACTGCTTTCACACTAGTTTTAGTTTATGTTGCTGTCCTTCATCTTTAAGTTAGCTGAGCTTCATTTATCTTATGTAGGACTTGCTTAACTTCTGATTTGAGCAAATCAGAGCAATAAAAAACTGCATCATCAGCAAGCAATATCCAGGAAAAACAGTTAGTTTCCAAGTGAAGCTGCTGCTATTCAAACTGAACAGAGAATAACAGAAGACCATCAAATCAGCCAGTCAACTCTGCTGCAGCCATCTTCGAAGGAGAAGTTTATCTGTACAACACATTTCAGCAGCAAGGTGGGTCAATGTGCTTTACACAACAAAAACAGAAAATTACAAAATTATAAAGGAAACAACTGAACAAACATTACAGTTTGATGAGTGGCATCACCAAAACCACCGACATCACCACACAAGACGCCAAGTCCATCAACCATCAGAGGCTGAAGGAGCGACGATCTGCTGCCGGAGGCGGGGCTACAGGAGGTTTCATCTCTCCATCCTTCATCTCTCCATCATTGTCATCTCTCCATCCTTCCTTCCTATCTTCTCAGAGTGGGCGGGGCATCATAATGAGATCACTGCCCACTAATCAGCAGGAAGGCTTCTCATTGGCTGAGAGAGGAGGGACCGGCCCATGGCGGGGATTGGCATGATGACGCAGATTGAAGCTGGCAGGTTGTTGCTGCACATAATGGGATTATGATGGAGCAGAGCAGCAGGCAGGACGTCTGGTGGTGAATGTCTCTGTTCCTCTGCCCTCACAGCGTCATGAAGACGATTGGTCTGAGCGCTGAAGCACACATCAGCGAGTCCTGGAGCTCCCAAGATGCTCCTTGGTTAAGGAGGGAAGCCACCTTATAAATGTGACCTGATGTCAGCAGCAGTGATCAGGGAGGAGAACTGTTGGAACGGGAGCCATGCTAGCTATTTTAGGAGACCTAGCGACAACAGGACAGCAGATATTATTACATCTTTACAGAGATTCTCAACAAGCATCTGGTCGAGGCTTCAAAGAAACAAACAATAAAATACAAGAAAAGAAAAGCAACTTTGGTTCTGTTAGCTGATATTACGGTTTATCTTCCTTTGGTTCACACTATGTTAGCTACTTTGGCTTTGCTAGCTAAGTTAGCTTAGCTTACTTTCTCCTGCCTTAGATCAAATTAGGTTAGCTGAGTTCATCATATCCTTTCTTATCTTAATTTCTGTAGCTTACTTTCTCATTAGTCCCTTAGCTTAGTGTAGCCGCCTTCATTTGACTCTGCGTTGTGTGTAATGGGTGAAAGGAACCAGCAGATGAGGACGCTGGGTGTATTGCAGCAGGTTTATTCTGTTTAAAACCAAAGTATTTTCAGCACAGCAGTTCTTGGGCTCTGGCTTCCCCACACACACCTTAAACAATCACAAGAACAAAAACAACCACGTTGGCACGGTAAGCTCGATAAATGTTACTAGCGTGGGAATTAAATACCTAGTACAGTCGTGAGCTAAACATAAAACAGTTTAACAACAATATATAAGAAGTTGCGAGTTTAGGAAACATACTGTTTAGGACATTTTGAATATTTTAATACACAAACAGAAGACAGCTCTGTACGATAACCTCTCCCCAGCGCAGCTCGGCCGAACTGAGGAGGGCAGCGGGAAAACACAGGATGTGACGTGGAAACAGGAAACAAGAAAATAAAAGCTTCTCCACCAAAATAAAATACAATTCGGAAACCTAGAAAAACAAATATAGATAATGAGGATGGACTTGGGGTGAAATATAAACATTTTTACACACTTGCTACATTAGCATAACTTAGGTTACATGTTTAACTTCAACAATAGTTTTAGACTGATTTATCTTTGCTTACTTTAGCTACATTTATTCCACCTTTACATTATGAATTGTATGAGCTAAATGTTTTCAAGTCAAGTGAACTTTATTATCAAAGATCTATGTAACAGGGTTAACACAGAAGTTTGAAATTGCGTTTCATCAGACTCCAATGTACAATTAAATTAAACATATAAACATAAATAAGACATTGACAGTAACCCCCCCACCCTCCCACACATACAGCAGAAGTGCAATCAGTGGACATACAGGAAATGTGAGGTAATGCAGATGCTGCAAGGTGTAAAGAGTAAAGTGCAAGTGGTGTGTGGTGTTTGTAGTTTATCTTCCTGTGGTTCATATTAACTTAATTTATGATTAGCTTCATTTAGATTTGATGATTGTAATTAACCCCAACTTTATTTCTCCTTCTGTAGTTTATGATCTCATTGCTACATAATCCAGTTTATGTTTCTGTAGCTTAGGGTTACAGAAGCATAACCCTAAGCTTATCGTCGCTGTTTTCCCAGTGAGTGATGAGCTGCAGCCTGTTGTTCTCTGTGGTTCTGGTTTCCTTCCTGCTGAGGATGAGCAGTCAGCGCAGACAAATCCTCCAGCAGAGGCTGAGCGTCGGAGCGCCGCATGAATCAGCAGCATGGGACACGGAGGGACGGACACGGAGGGACGCGTCCAGAGAGACAGCTCTGTCCAAAAATGAATCAGATTTACTGCAGAATAATCTCGCATCTCCTGATCACTGAAGAGCAAACACACATATTAAAGATGAATAAATATTTACACTCTGAAGCTGCATTCAGAGTTAGATCCGCTTCAGTTAAAATATTTAATCTGCTTCCATGAACATCAGATTAAAGCTGTGATGATTCTTCTTCCTCTTTTCTGGGATTCTCTAACCTGCTGGATGTCTGATGGCGACTTGGTCCTGTTTTCTGGAGCTTGGAGCTGATTTCTGTTTCAGTGGCGGTAAGATGGCAGCATCAACCCAGAAACATTCAGGAGAACACCAGAAGAAGAAGTGACATCAGGAAGGATCTGACAACAGAGCGCCAGACTGACAGGCTTCCACTCTGAGGAAGGGGATCGCTGGAGCGAATCAACAGATTATTGTAACTCAACCCAAACCTCTGAGACCGCAGTGTCAGGCAAACAGGAAGTGTTAGCAGACTGGAGGAAAAAGGAAGGAAGTGTGTTTTCTGCTCTTGTCTTCAGAAACCTGGAAGCTGATCAGCCTCATTCTGCTTCATTTTAGAGCTAAACTACAGATCTGTTACAGAAAGATTCTCCATTATGGAACATTAGCTTCAGGTTGGATGGAGCAACAGCTGCAGCAGGATGGCTGTTCTGTACACTGGTTCTGATCCGGTTCTGAAGCTCCAGCGACATTGGGTGACGACAGGATGACAGAAAATCAGGAGTGAGCGAGGAAGAGGAGATGGGGTGGAGGAAGGAGATGATAATGATAGTGATCCGGATTAATGAGCCGAGAATCTCCTCCTCCTTATTCTAACATCTTTGAAGCTCCTGTCTAAATCTTTCCTGAATGGAAAACGATGTTCAGAACTGGACCAATCAGGACGGAGCTCCAGCCTAAGACCAGCTGCCATGATGGCGGCATGATGGCGGCCAGGCTGCTGGACAGCGGCGGAGCAGCCCAGAACGTTCCATGGTTCTGTTTCATAAAACCAGTCAGAGAGAAGAGGGAGAGGCGGGGGGGTAATCCTCTGTGATGAGTCACACTTCAGTGTTTTGGCGGTCTTTAGTTCAGAGACTGGCTGGCACACACACACACACAGCTTGTCTTATTTGTGGATGGGGGTGCAGTGGGTTTTTGGGGGGTGGAGGACGCTGACATGCATCGCTGCACCGCCACTGAAAGGAGAGAAGCTCATCTTTTCCCTCCATCCAGCCTCGTCTTCCTCAATCTGAGCCACACACACTTCTAAACCAGAGTGATGATGATGATGATGACGACGATGATGATGAAGTTGATAATGATGAAGAGCCAGAAGAAGGAGCAGTGACCAGATTCTCTGACACATATAATAATAAATAACTAGAAAATTCCGCAGAAATTTTAAGGGGCCTGCCAACTGTGCCCATCACTTTAAACCCAGC